GTTTTATTGAATAGACAATACGAATCGGGGTGAAACCTAAAAGCGGGAGACCCAAAAGCGGGAGACACGAAAGCGGGAGACGAAATTGCTTACCGTACCACCGTTTCTTCGGGGGTACGCACTTGGGTTCAAGGCTGAGTTTCACAGTTTTACATGAAGAGCGAAAAAGCGCGCCTTGCACCCAGTTGATTTTGAAGAAATAGATCATGATCTAGATCAAACACAGGTGGATCGCGAGGAACGTTATATGAGATCGCGCGGGTGCCGTATATGCTCGCAATACGAACATATAGGGGCGCATCGTGCGAGCATATAGGATCCACGCGCCGACTAAAGCATATAAGATCCACGCCGCCGCCCAGCAATTCCTCCCCTCCCCAGGTCATAATATTCTCTGTGAACTGAAAATAGTGTTTACCAGTAAAAATTTATTGAAAATTAATAAAAATGACAAAAAATGAAGTGAAAAGAAAATAAAAAAGAAAAGAAAAAATTAACATGTTTGTCTCCTGGCTAATTGGACTCGATATTTTCGTCGCATTTCTCCCTCTTTATATCCATTAGACGACAGTCCAATCGAGAAGTTGCTCTTGGTTGTTTTTTTTTTCTAAAAACTGAATATATTTTGAAAATTTTCGATAGTTTTACTTATTCACACCGACAAATTTGTCAAGCCTAGTAGTTAGAAAACGAAGCTTCTTTTGCATCGTATACATGATTTATTGAGAGAGCTGAATTTCGTGTGAAGCGATACCTCTAGCAAATCTTGGCATGTTTTTCATCATGTTTCGAAAGCTCCGAAGAACTGGAGTCAGACACAAGAGTAGAATGCTCTTTACAGTTCAGTCAAAAAAATTTCGCAGGTGTTCTTTTATCGAATTGTTTTCGAGCGTTTCAAACACAAAATTCGCTAACCTTTTCGTTTTTCTGTCGGTGCTGCTTCTTTCACTTGTCGTGTGGCCAGTGGAGACGGTGAAGGGTTTAGTTGTCACCGAATTCCGAGCTCCGCTTCTAAAAAATGAAGTCAGTGAGAAACTGAATGTCATGCATGTTTCTTACCTGTAGCTATCCGCCGAAAACAAAAATATCTGCAAATTCATCGAAAATCTGAGTGTAGATTTACGGTAAACAACGCGCGATGCGGGATGTCGGAGCGTCGTTGTGTACTTTTTCAGCGGAATTACCAAATTAAATGGGCAAAAAAATCCGATTCATGTGGAAATATAGAATATTGTGATTTAAAATAAGCAGACAGAGCATAAGGGCATTTTATGGTAACATAAATCCGGATGGATTTTGACAGGTTTTTTTGGAGTAAACGTCGCAACACAGCCTGCAGAAAATGTTGAACTTTTCAAAGACAAAATTCTCATCAAGTTTAATGGGATTCCAAGCCTAAAATCCAGCACCTGTATATGTTTTCCGATCATCTGTCTTGGTTAACTACTTTTCACCGATAACACTATTTTTCGATAGTCAACAGTCATAAATACGATTCTTTGAGAACCAAAAATTTTATCCTGAGAATATCAAGAGAAGAGTTTCAAGCTATTATTTCTGCAAAAAGCATTTACATGTTCTGTAAATGCTGTCAGGTTTCCGTGAAGACACATAATAGAATGATCCACCACTTCCCCTTTAACTTTCAACTTTGAGCTAATTTATCTGGGTTCCTGTGAAAGATATTAAAAAGTTGTTAACTGACAGCATGTTTTTGATATTATAATAAACATTTTGTCAGTTGATCATTTTCTGATATCTTTTACAGGAAATGAGATATATGGGATCGAAGTTTACAGTTTGGTTTGCACTCGATTAGAATGTTGAGGGAATATGGAACCTATATGCGAGCACGGACTGGGCATATGCTTTCCCTGCTTACTCGACGCCCACCACCGCCCACCAGCAACCACCAGCTCTTATAGAGGGCATAACGAACGCTATAGCGCGCATTCCCAGTATGGGCCACAATGCGCCCATATAGTGTTCTGCGCGATCCACCTGTGAAACCCGCGTCCACTTTAAAATTATTAAATTTCTTCTGGCCTACGAGTTTGCTGGGGCGCGCTTTCTGACCCCCTCGCTTGAACCCAAGTGGGTACGAGGAATTCGAACGTTTTAAAAATCGAACTGATTCAATTCAGAACAGCAATCACATCCAAAACCTCATCAATAAACACTCTGCGTCTCTCATATCTCCTCAAAACCGCCGATTGAATCGCTCTAATATAAATCTTTTTCTGGGGATAGAATCGCTGAAACGCCTCCAAACTCCTCAAATTCTCCTTATCTTTCGTGCCCTCTTTACTCTTAAATGATAAATAATCCAGCCGTTTCGTCACTTCTGCTCCATCGTCGTCGTCCAAAATGAAAAATTTGAATTCGTTTTTTTGTTTAACGTCTTCTGCATTCAATAAAACATAATTCATGAGGAGAACACTTCCATTCGGCAGTG